CCTCTAGGCAAGCCAACAGCAGCTAATATTTTAACCTTGTTAGTTTGGCGGTGAGAGCTTTCTTTTGATGCAAAAATATCTGGTCTTTTCAACTTACGACACAAACACCTCCATTGTTAGTACAATCTGACATACAGTGGCTCCAAAAATTATTCATACAGTAGTCATCTTTAATTTGCATTCAACGGTACGCAAGAAAAGATAGTCATAGAGATGTGTCGTTTTCACTGTTGCGTTCGTCATAGTGTCTGGTTTATTTCAACAAAATTTGAGACCTACACCTTTCTTAAATAATTAATATTAAACTTACTTGACGTTGAAGGTAAGTTAGTAGTACTTGTTGATGATGATATTATTGTTGTAAAATTATTTACATTAATAACTGTATCAACTAATTCTATAGAACAATTTGGCATTATCTCGTTTGTACATATTCGATTAATTCGACACCATATATCATGTTTATTGACATAACAAGCATTTAAATTTAAAATTTTACATGACGACAAAACATTTTTACAATCATTTGGTTGATTTTTTTGATGTTTTTGACAAGTAAATGTATTATTTCGATTATTCTGATAATAACAACAATACAATTTAAAACAAATAGATTTCGAAGTTGTTTGTTTTATTTCTAAAATTGATTTAGTATAAAATGATTGTGTTAAATTCTCTGATATATCTATTAATGGTTTTTTTATCATATTAATAGTTGTAGATGTTGATTGATTAAATAATAATAATAATTCTCTATTCTTATGTATTGCACGACGTGGTCGTATAGATTCTTCATTAGAAAAATAAATTTTTTTTTCTGTTCATATTTCAAGTTATACATACGAGTAATATTTGTTATTGATGAAATATTATTATCAATTGAAAATGCTGATGGAAGTAACATTAATGTTGAAAGTATTGCACCTATAGCAACTAATAAATGTAACCAACGAATAGATGATACTGATGGTCGAGTCCATAGACGATTATAAAGTGCATCGATACCTAAAAAAAAAAGAAATGATTTTTTTTTTTTTTAAATAAATTTTTTTATATTTTTCTTACCATTATACGATAAACCTAAACTGACACCAAGTATAAGTGAAGTTAAATAAAATGTTGTTAAATCTATTATAAATGGAAGTGAACAAACACCAAAACTTATTGATAAACAAGATAAACCAAGTAAACAACACGTATTAAACCTATTTAATATAAAACAATTTGATGAAGTTTTTTTTTTTTTTTTTTCTATACGAAGAAATTTTTACCATGTATAAAGATACGAACTTAAATAAGTTCCAATAAGAAAACCAATACCTTTTACAACAATAAGCCATATAACTGATGGTAAGTTAGTAGACATTTTTTGTGCTAGATATGGAAATGTTGGTCCCAATAAACCAGTAAACATACCCTTTTAAGAAAATATATTCAAACGAAAATTAAGAATATTATAATTAAAATAGACATCAGAGAATGAAACCTATACTTTAAAAAGTTTCATATGCTAAAATTAGATTTTCAGCAAAACGTTTAATTGACTTTGTGCACGGCTCTAAATTACAGTGACTCTCAAAATTAATCATCTTATGTTATTATTCTATTGCTATAAACGCTAATAAGAATTCAAATAGTAATTTGTGTAGAAAATTTTATTTTCGAAGATAAAAATGATTACTAGTTTTCATCTTCTAGAATTCTGTTTGAAACTACACAGAATGATAAAGCAAACAATTTTTTCTACAAAATGAAAAAATTATTTTTTATACCTCCCATAAAATTGATGTATCTCGATCAAAAACAAAAGACGTAGAGAGCTGAAAAACGTTTCATTTTGTAGGGCGTTGTTTCTTCTATCATTCTGTATAATTCAAATGGAGTTCTATTTGCTAATTCTAGGAGATGAAAAACGTGCAATCATTTCCTTTTTTCGAAAATCAAGTTTTCTATACAAATTGCTATTTGAATTCCTATTACTGATTATGACGGTGAAAAAAATTGAAAATAAATCTGGAGAAATCATTTTAGAAACTACTGTACATACCATAGATATACATGTAACAGCCAAAATAATTGTTTTTTCTTTTGATAATTTATTAGATTCATTGTAGACTCCGATGTTAACTTGTTCTTGACGAAAAACTGATGTACTTGGAGTACTTACTTTTTTTTTTGCTTTGAGATTCAAGGTTTTACAATCGAGTATAATATCTTCCTCATCATCATCATCATCATCAATATGTTCATTCATCTACAAGGAAAAATAGATAAAAAATAGAAAGTAAAATAGTTCTTACCATAATATTAAAAGATTTAATTAAGACAATGTTTTGTTGTTTTCTATCAGTATATTATATTATATTTCCCATCCATCCATCACGTAGGTTAACTATGAGTCATTGTGGGAATAGTTGATTTAAAGACGGTTGGCAATTGGTTAATATTATTAATAGAGAGCGCTAGATATGGAAGAAGAATATTTAAGTTATGTTCGTTTATTTTTTGTTTTTGAAATAAAAGTTTTTTCTTGATTTAATGAATATCTTATTTTCAGTACTTATGACCGAAAAAACTTGAACTGTTCGTTTAGTTGGTACTACTCTACAGCGTATATATATAGTAACATTAAAGGTGGTATTGTCTACTATCAATAAGTTTTCGAACTTCTTAAATTACATAATATCAGAAGATGGAATAGTTATTTTTTATAGTAGACCACACAGCTACTAAACAAATACGAAACTTTACAATGATAAGAAAAAAAAAGTTAGTAAACTATCTTGCGTCTCGAACAAAGAAACTATTACTTCGATAATATTATTTTCTTTTCTGTTTTATCAATTATATCATACAACTGAAGTGTATTGATTTCTTTCTATTGTATTCTATTAGAGACTAAATTGATAGATTTTTTCTTAAAATATCGTTCTTAAGAATAATAATGAACTTTTATGATTAAAATAAATTCTAAAATCAATTAGACATTCATTCATAGATATAGTTTAATATCATAATGAATGTGTTTAGTTTTAATTTACATTATTCTATATCAACTACTAAACTAACATGCAGCAAAAAATAAGTGATAACCATTGATTTAAATGAATAATCAGAGACTCTTTTAAAGTATGACACAGATGTTAATAATGTAAATATTCTTGCAAGGAAAAATATAAAATTTGGATAGATTTAGGTAAAATTTGTAATGCAAATAGTATAAGTATAAGAATAGTAGCAATCAATAAGATAAAAAGCAATAATATAAAAGCCAACTGATGCCTTTGAAGAATCAGTAAATTTAAAATATGTGATCATTTTAGAATATTCAAAGAAAATAACATAAAATACAGTAGATATTTATGTTATTATTTGAGTAATTTATATGATTTAGACACGTCTTATTTTGCTTTATTTTTTCTATTCTACTTATGTAACTGATAGTGAGGATTGAAATAGTTCTTTGTGTTTTTTTTTATTATTTTTGGAGTAGAGGAAATGTAACAAAGATAAAAAAAAAATAGTTTTATCTATAATGTTAGTCCAAATGAAAGTGCAAAAGTAAAAAAACAAAACAGAAGAATCTATCTAACTAATGTTAATATTTAAAGAATCTTTATGATCATTTATGTTTGGCACTAATAAAAAATCTTATCTAAATCCTTAAGCATATTTTTTATCTTTAGAAAACTAGATTTTCGTTAAAAAGTTAATAAATTTTAAAATAAACATATGAACATGTTGTCTAGTGTATGAATTTATAAAAATAATTAATTAGTTTTTTAGAGAGTTAGTTCTTCAAAATAAACAAATATTTTTCAGAAGTAATCAAATCTTGTATATCTCAGAGACACATTTTTGAGATCTAAAATGACATAAGAGTATAAGCGTAGACTTTCTCTTCATCCACATTCACAATCTTAAGATAGATGTTTTATATAAAATAAAATACTTTATTATCTTGTTAAATGGTATAACAAATCTAAAGACAATGGTAGATAGTATCAACTTTTGTGATGTATTTCATACGATAAAACTTCTTTTGCATTTTTTCCATATACTTCATTCTAGGAAGCTTTGTTTTTCCTTAATCGATAGGATACATGTTTCATACTTCAGATGAGTGAAAGGAATTTTCTAATTAATCGTGAAAACTAGAGAAATTCTGACTTTTTCAGAAAAATATTCCCAAAAAAATTCCAAAATTTTAAAAGTTTTGATGATTCGGAACATGAAACAGTAAAAATTAAAAAAAGTCGTTTTTCTCATCCGAAGTTCTCTTTGAAATTTCCCTGAAAGATAAGGTACGAAGGCGTGAATTTTTTTTATTAATGTACTTTCATANTTTTGTATCTGAAAATTATGCATTCTGAAAGCTAACCCTTATTATAGAATATGAGTGTTGCGTTAGTGTCGACATGTATATAGGGTAGTTCAAAAGTTCTAGGAGCATCCAATTTTTTTATTGAATAGACGATATTGTCGAAAATCTTATTTCATTACATATACAAAGTATTCGTCCTTATTTGCTATACAAAGTTTTATTCTATCAATCAATCTGTGCAATATCTTTGGAAGCTCATTATATGGTATGGCACGAAGCTAGTAGGTCGAAGCTTGTTGTCAAGGCTTAAAATCAGGATAACTGTCTAATTGCCGTTTCAAGTAACCAAAAATCAGAAGAATAAAATGGAAGAGTTATCACAATCACTTCTTGTACTTGAGGAAATGTATCAATATTGTTTGTTTTGCGCGGTCTACCATAGTCATAAGAAGGCTTGATAGCACGAAAAACAGAATTTGGTCACTCTTTTTGCGATATTGTGAAACACAGGTTGCAAGCAATTAGTTTTGTAGTAGGCTTCATATATTGTATTGTCGCATTCGATCATGTAAATAAAGTCCAGCTCATTTGCTCAAAAGAAGATCACAACCATGTTTTTTTTGCTCGCATATATTTCGTCTGACCTTTGCTGCTGGGCTTGCATTTTCAAAACGCCATGTGATATTGGTGTGTTATGAAGCAATGATTCGATAATAAATTCATGTTTCATTTTCTGTAATAATATTATACAGCTGCCATTGATCGAATCCCAATTAAGTAAGAGTTTATTGCGGAATTTCAATTCACTTATACTTGCATTTTTTTTGTCAGTTGGTGTAATATTCATTTTGTACACAACTTTTTCTATTTCAGTTTATTATTAATGATTTTGTTAATAGTATCATACGATAGATCAATTTCAACTACAGTGTATCGAAATGCTCAATGCTCGGATTATTTCCTAAAGCTCAAGTCAATGATCCGAGGGTCGGAAAACAATTGAATTTTACTGGAATCAACCTGAAAAATGCGAGAAAAATCATTATAGTCGATAGGAAAGCATCGTATCTATTTGGCTACGGTATCCTATGACATATAAGCTTTCTCGCATGCATCACTAAAATCCGTCTGATTTTTGTTTTTCTGTAACGGCGAGTTTAAGTCTTGTGAAGATGTAAAACCATTAATTAACAAGTACTGATATCACGTATTTAAATATTAAAGACATAATTCTCCATTCTGTCAAACAGTAAGAATTGAAGATAATAGTTCTGAGAAATTTCGGATCAATCTATGTATTATCTTTTGATAGAGTCGACAATTTAGAAAGTCATCTTACTTCGTTTTGCATTGTATACAAAATCATGAAAATGTTCAAATAATATCAGTAAATGTAGAGTGTGTTTATAAAAAGAAATTAATGATCTTCTGATTGAGATTAAAAAAATTCTATCACTGGGAATACGTCATTGTGCAATAATCTCACTATCTGGAATATTACGATGAATGAAGACAACACTAAATATTAAATATTGACCAGTTTCGTATTGAGACTTGAAAAATATTCTTAAATGCACCTTATTTTCATATTCCTATTAGTCTATATTGGAACAACACTTTCGACAAATATTGAAATTACTTCTTTTATTCGAAAGCCGCAATTCAATATTTTTTTATTTACTAATGAATTATATGAGATTGAGGACAATATTCATTTATTACTAGAACATCAAACATTTGCTTTATCGTCAAGAACAAAAAACTTACGTTTATGAAGTTTGAAAATATACGTACTGGGCTACTCATAAAGCTTTTTTTTATGAAGTGATAAGAAGATCGAAGTGTCAATATTTATTTTCATGTCACTGTTAAGTGGATAATTGTCAGTCATAAATTATTGAATGAAATAATTTTTGATAGTAGAAAAGGACAACAAAATAATACACTTTATACAATCATAGAATAACTATATGGTAATAACATTTGATTCTACTTGTCCAACTAAACTTTGATTAAAGTTCTCGACATATTAAAAGATCGGGATCATCCATTTGGTCCCTAAAAAAAACGTCATAGCTTTTAGTAGTCTCGTCAACAAATCTTAGTTTTAATTCATTTTTTGCCCAATACGTCGTTAGTAAACGATTTTATTTCACTGATCATACAGGTGTAGAATGAGAAAGAAACAAATAATATCCTATGAGAAAAAAAGGAGAGACAATCGTTGGTAAGCAAGATTAGGATCTATCAGTGGCAACATTTTAACCTTCCCAATCGTTAAATAATTGAAAAAAATCATATAGTGAAATGGATTACTAGCATGGTCATTAGTCTAAATCTAATATTAATGAATATGGTTGTATGTGAAGACATAGTTTAAAGAAATATAACAGTTGAATAAACATCTAGTATCTTTTTGAGAAAAGAAATATGTTCTCCGACTCAGAAGGAATACTTCATAGAACAAACATTGATGTACATCCATGAAGATATGTCTTCTACAATTATGAATGCGCTGTTTTGGGATACAAAACGTTTCTGAATTTCTAGAAGAAATTGCAAAGGCAAAGAGGTTTTGTTAATTAATACATAACGGATTTTATCGAATATGCTCTTATTTTAGAAAGATCTCTTCATGTATAACCCGTGGGAATATGCACTGCATCAATTAAGTCTTATGTCCACAAGAAAATTTTTCTTATATTGAAAACCTAAACAATCCTTTTCAGATTATGCTGCAAAAGAGCATTGAAGTGATTCCCGAGTATATTTTCTTTAATAGCTGTTTTCAAGATTCTTCTAACTTAGAAGTGGCACATCGCTATGATAATGCAAGCAAAATATTGTCTATATTGAACTTAGACATTATTCTGAAGATGAACATTAAAAAAAAAAGGTTGCAGAAATTATTTAAAAAAAAATCAATTCTCATAAGAGATCTTCTAATGTGTCAAAGGCTTTATCAATGTTTCAATGATAATTTATAATATAGTACGAACAAAAAGCATTTATGTATTCGATCATATGATATTACAATAATTGAAAAAACTTGAATAATAATTACAACAAAAGTAGCAATTAAAACTTTATTTAATCTTTTTAAAGATATAATTGTAATTATAAAAGACAAAAAAAGAATTTATTATTTCATTATTTTCATCAACGGATTATAACTATGATTGTCATAAGCATAGTTATAATCATAAACCAACTAATACGTATTTCATTCATGGCATAATTACAATAATCTGTATTACAACAATATCGAATACCAATCAAAGGTGTTGCATTACAGAATGCAGATTCAGCTAAATAAATTTATTAATTTCATGTAAAATTATGAGTTTTATAACAATTAAACTTACCACAACCTCGAATTTCCATACCCAAAATCAAATCATCTTTCTAAATAAATATGTATTTTATTCAATAGTTTTATCTACACTACTTACAAAGCAATATTTTTCTTCTGAACTCGTACAATTCTTTCGATTTGCATCAATAAGACACGATGGTTTATATGTACATCGTTCATGATGTTTGTAACAGGCAAGAGCTAAAAGAAAAGGTTTTTATAAATAAGAGAAATTTTTTTTAATTAAACGAACCTTGTAAAGCCGATACTAAGAGTGTTAATACTAGTAAAGAAAAAAGTAAGTAATTCATGTTAATAGTTAATGACAAATGAATGCTGGATAAACTCTGCGAAAACCAATATTGAAATATTTTTTATACAATGTCTATTTTGAAATGCAAAATAGAAAATAAAAAAAAGCATACGGTTTGAGTCGACAAATATTACATCATGACGTGGAATAAATAAATCTAGTTTCATCCAACAGTTCAAATACTTAAATAAATTTGTCTTTTATGAACTGTGCTCATTGAAATTCAATTGTCCACATTACCCCCAAAAAAGCGAAATGTAAAATAATCTGATTCAATAATACAGAAGAAATTAATCTTTAATCTTTCTCTCTCTCTCTCTCTAAATTTGAACAATACAAAATTCTATAAACATCCATAGTGTGAAACTATGAATGCATGAAATATTCTTTACTTAATCAACGCTTGTTATCAGTATGTAGCAATGTACAATGAAATATATTGGTATATGTACTTGAAGAAGAGAAATAGCGAATTTAAGAAAATACGACTGAGTGATTGTGATTTTTACCAATGGCGAAACGTTTTCAACTGATCAATCGCCTTCTTACGAAAAGCTATTAGATTGTAAGTTATCGAGCATACTGATTCTGAATATGACCATTTCTGAGAGTAGGGTGTGGGTGTGGTTATGTGTGGGTAAAGAGATAACCCACACCCACACACTTCAATTGAATAGCTTCACGTGAATAAATTAATATTACTTTTGAATTCGTAGGTAGATATTTGATTCTAATTCAGATTTTAAGAAAACCTGAAATTGCCCATTCATAATTTCATAACTAAAGAATCAACTGTTTTTCTCTTGGTATATTTCGACTGATATTCATATATTAATCACTAGCTACTGTAGTCAAGTATTATCTTGAAATTTTAGAAATGAATTTTTATAATCTAATGTCAAATTATTGAATTCCGACAGATAGCAATTCTATTAATTGTGATTCTTCTAATGTAAATCGTTCACACTTTTGTCAAGGAATTTTTTTATTTTATCATTCATTTTGTCTACATATTTGTTGTTTTTTACTTTAGCAAAAAATGGAATTATTTGTTTTGTTCTTCTCACATTTTCAGTCAGTCACGTGCGGTCATGTAATTTTGCACTTGAAAAATTTAAACATTTTTACTTTTGTATTCGTTTTACTTGCTTAGTGACGACGACGATTATGCCAAGAAATCAAAATACTGAGGTTTAAAAAAAAAAGAAAAGAACTATCATTTATACATTCAAATTTTCTTTGATTTTTTATTTAGCGATTTGTTGTTGTTCGAGCAGATATTGATGGAAATATATTAGATTATGATATTGTTGAACAACCTATTATTTCATATCCTGCGCAACGAACTGCACAGCTTTATCGATCCAAATCAATTGAACCAACATCAAGAGTTAATCGAACACAAAATAATAATTATGGAGAAGGAAAAAATAAACATATTTCTGTTAATAATGAATCATTGAAAACAGCATATTCGGATCCAAGTACAAGAGTAAGATGAATTCAATCGATATAATATTTTATTTGTATCTTATTTCATAAAGACACCACCAATACGACGTCGAGTTCGTTATGTTCCTCCAACGCCGACTGTTAAAGTACGAAATTATTTATTGATTTATTCAATTAATCTTATGTTATTTTATTTAGATTTTTCAACAAAAAGTTAATTGGCATGCAGAACCAAAGATTAGGTCACATAATGATGAAGCGATAAGACAAATTCGGCGTGCACCTAAAAGGAAAATATTTGCTCAAAAATTATCTTGGAATACTGAATCAAAACTTAATACACATAATGAAGAAGCCATAGAAACAATTCGTCATAGAACAAGATCTCAAGTAGAATATTTAGTTTGTTGTTTGCTATTTAATTTACTAATCATTTATTATATATTTAAAAATAAAACAAAAAGATATTTGAAGAAAAACCAAATTGGAATGTTGAAACAAAAATTGATTCACATAATGAACAAGTCGTAGAATCTCTTCGCCAAGCACCAAAACCACGAGTAATTAACTCATTTTTGTTTGTTGTATCAATTTTGTTTTGTTTTGTTTTGTTATTTTCATAAAAGATTTATGATGAAAAAATTAATTGGAAAGCAAATACAAAACTCGATACTCATAATGAACAAATTGTTCAATATCTTAAAAGTGCACCAAAATCAACTGTAAGATTTTATCATAGTAATATTATGAATTTATTTTCATTTTCAAAAAAAAAGATTTATGATGAAAAACTTACATGGCCATCAAGTACACGAATTGATCATCATAATGAAGAATATGTTCAAAATTTAGAACGCGAACGAACAATACGAGAGCAAACAGCAAAGCTGCGTGTTCAAGTAGAAATATTTTTCATAATTATTTGTTTTGTTTATAAATTTATTGATCTAGAGTCTTTCACACGAACACACAGTAAAAGCAGATAAACCTCGTATTGATCATTATAATTCCGACTATGTAGAACATAAGAAAAGAAGAAAATCAGCAAGACTTCCTGTATGAAAAAACTAATAATTTTAATAAGATATGAAAATTTGCAAAGTTTTCCTATTTAGCCAATTGAAGATCGCAAGCTTGAATGGAAAAAAGAATCTCGTATTAGTCAGAGAAATGATGATTATATTGGTAGTATTCAACAAAAACGATCAGTACCTCTTGTATTAAATAATAATTTCTTATTTGAATATGAGTAGCTAGAATTTTTTTTTTCTTCACAAGATTTTTCGAGAAAAAGTTCAATGGAAGACAAAATCGCCACGCATTAATGCTCATAATGAAGAATATCTTGATAATTTAAAAGATCAAAAAAGGCCAAGAGTAAGAATTTTATTTTAAAAACAAATCATTTTTCTTAATTTGTATTTTTTTCAGATTGTTAATCAATTACCTCCATGGAGTTCACAATCAAAAATTGATTCATATAACGATAGTTATGATCAAAATTCTAATTCACGTCTTAAGCCAGTGGTAAATATGTTAACGAAATAATTTAACAATAGTCAATTTTCTATGAAAAAATAGAGGCATAATAATGTATTTTCAATTTTTTTTTTCTATGATGTTAAGTATCTGGCTTAAATTCAGATAGTAATTTTAATAGCCAATAGATTTTTCTATTTAATGCATTCTATGGCAAGATTCCTAAAAAGAACTGCACACGGTATTTTTCAGGTCGCATAAGACTTTTTTAGAATTATTTTTAGTAATGCCAGTTTAAAGACAACAATATAAGAAGTCATCGCATTTTTTACGACGTTTCCTTAAAAATCCCAAATGCACCACAAAAACTGGGAAAAAAAATACTTTTGATACTTCTAAATTATCAAAGGAAGGTCGTGAACCATGCGCGGCAATCTCTCATTCTTTTTCTCTTTAAAATAGCATCGTTAAAAAATAACTGTGACAAAGTATTTTATGACATGAAAACTACTGTGTTCGGTTTTTAAAAACCTTGCCACATATAATCTTGGTATAGAATGAACCAGATAAAACGATAGTTTTTTTGGCAAATCTTACAAAAAAAAAGGTTCTATTCAAAAACAAAACCATATGCGTTTGTTTAGAGTACTCTTCGGATTGTGCTTTTTTTATTCAAACGGAAAGAAATACAAAGAAACCTAAGAAATGTGGGCACCTCAAACAGTATCTAACATCTTCGGAACTATGTGCTGCTTAATTAAATGTACAATGTCGAAAACAAGCGGATGACTTTAAACTCAGAATGAAGTATTCGATAATTTTGAGTATCCAGGAAGATTTATTCAACAATCGAATCTTATCAAATTCCATCGAAATTGTATAAAATCCGATAACATGCTGTAGAAGTATGTCAAAAACCAGTTGACTGAANGTTTTTTTGTGGTACCGTGGTTTGTGTGAGCAAGGAAGCAGAGAGACGGAGGGAGGACGGCGGGGGAAGGTTTTTGGTTTTGGGGGGGGGGGGGGGGGGGGGGGGGGGGGGGGGTCGCTAAGAGAAGACTCACATTCACATCCACTCCAAACCGACAACCACACCCACCCACATCCTAAAACTTTCTTTATCTCGCCTCGTTCAACATTCGCACTATTTTGCAGACATTTGTATATTTTAGAGTAGAGTGACACATTGTAAAATGCAGCTTCGTCTGTGATAGAGTCGGTGGCACGCAGATCATATGAGACGAGCAAGAACTCTTGTAGTATCAAACTGATGAAAAACCTTTCTCATTTATCAGCTTTTTTTCTGAGGAAAAATAGTAGGACTTTCTAAAAAAACTGGGTCTGTACACTCACTTAGTAGAGTGACATTTTGAAAATGGTCTGCTCTATAACTTTCCAATAAACCGCTCGATTTGACTCAAACTTTCATAGCAGATGTAAAACAAAATGTTATGTAAGTGATAAAATCTTCAGCTCTCGATCTTGCACCATTCAGAAAACAATTACTGTATATTAAAAAATATAGAGGGACGTTGTTTTCTGTAAATACTTCAGGGCGAACTCATTCAAAAGTATTGTTTACGGTAATAATTTAGTTCAGTAAAAGTCGGTAAGCAAATATGGGTGGACTGTGGACTGCTCTGGCTACTCATTTTCCATTCAAATCTAACAAGTCATTCAAGTCTCGCTAACGAGTAAAGTCATTTTTACCATTTATTTAAACAGACACTGCACTTAACAGCGTATATTTCCTTTACTATTTAATAAAGTGTAGAGAAACTTTTGCCTGTACAACGCAGTTATAGAGGATAAAACATTCACTACTCAGGAATTGCTAAGATCTAGTCTCATTTTTTGGAGCTAATCATATCAAATAGTTGCAATTCACTCATAAATCAGTTTCACTTTTGATGATAATTTGCTGTTATTCTAACAACATAGAATTTTCCTAGATTCTAAAGAGCAGAATTTCAATAAAATATAAAAAAATTAGGGTCTTATGTTCAAATCAGGAATGAAATGGTTATCGTTGATATGCATGAATAAAAGTGCAACGAGAACTTAGAGAATTTTTGTAATCATTCACCTAATCATCTTCATCAAATCTTTAATGTATCCAAGTCATTCTGATCTCTTAGTTGATAATATATTGGAAATCAAATCAAGCACGTTCAATTCATTGATATATGTTTTTGTCAATATATAGAATACATCAACACTTTTGACTCGAGTCGAACAATAAATTTTTCTACTTTTGAAATAGGTCATTGAACAGATGCCTCTACAGAAAAAATGTGCAGGACAAGCATGCGTAAAATATTTCTTTCTTTAAACAATCGTTTGTTACCATACATATTGTAATCAACCTTCATCAAGCAGATTTACCTTTACATTGATTGCCTTATTGAGCAGTCTAGAACGATACTTTTGAAATATGTTTTTACTTTGTATTTTTTCTGACATAAGTTTCCATCTATTTTCAGTTGACCGCGTACCTTTCAAATCGGTATCTGTGTCATCTAGTTCTATTCTTTTTTCCAAACGAATTCTTGAATAAAAGTGTGCATAAAGGCAAGATCTCCTCTTGATAGTCTCTACACAGACACTTACACTTACCTCCTACAAAGACAACCACACCACTTTCTTGAATATCCTAACTTTTCAGAAAGAAAAAAAAACATTTGATTGCAAACTCGAAATTGTATTTCAGAAATAAATACTTACAAAACCTCAGTGATTCTTAATCAGGATTTTCCAATATTGGATACCACAAGAAAACTCTGAAGTTTCAGACTGGATATCTGCTTAAGTAGTCTATCTATTCTGAAACCCAAATGATTTTCTTCTTTTGTATCTCAATTTTACAGAATAAAAGTATACTATAAACATAAAAACGAAAATATATTTAATCGCATCAATATTATTCAAAAGTTTATTAAGTAATCATGAATTTAATAGGAAAATAGTAATAGTCATATATTTATTTGTAAACAATCGATTGTAAAAATTTAATAAATGAATAGTTCAACAACAAATATATGTAGTTTCTAACTTGTTTATTTGTTTTCAGTACCAAAAAGAAAAAGTACGTAGAATGAGACTAGACCGTTTATAAATATCGCACCATTTATAACTATTTTTATTTTTTGCCGGTTTCTATCAATTTTTACTTTGCAAAAACCAATTCGAACTCTTCAATGGTACCGATTGAAGAATTCTATTAATGAAATTTCAAATGATTCGTATAGTTCGAAATTGATTAATTTCAACTCATGCGCTAACATTTAGATCAAGTTGTACTCATTGAAGCCGACATAAAATTAAATGAATTTTATATTTGAGGCTTTTCCCATTTCAAGTATGAAAATTGACTACTGTAAAGAAGTAAAAGCTAGTGTTTTTCAAAGAACAGTTGAATATTAGTAGTCACGAACAGTCTAAAACTTTGAAACTGTTGCCAATGGCAGGAAGTACTACTTTGATATTCACATGCTTTAGTACCATTGAAAATTCTCGAACCATTAACTGATATCAACGCCATTCTTGGTCAAAATTGTACACTATCATTCACTTGTGATGAATTTTCATCACCAACAGTAACATGGTTAGTGATCTGAATGAATTCTAACTTCAAGAGTTTGCTCCTTGCTTCTTTGAATCAGGTTTTTCAGTGATATCAAACTAACAGACTCTGAAAAATACAATATCGAATCAAAAAAAAATACCTTTACGCTGACCATCAGCAAATGCGATCTTTCTGATGCCGGTATGTATTATGCTCAGATTCAAAATGGCATCGATCAGACTAAACAACCCGCCAAGCTTAATGTTCGAAGTTAGTAATCTCATCATCTTGTACGAACAATATGTACGAATACTTATGTGTTTAGTTCGACCTAAAGTGGAAGCACCGAAATCCGTAAATGATCAATCATGTGTCTTCGGTCAAGATACTCAAATCTCATGGAAATTCAGCGGTATCGAGAAACCACAAGTGGCATGGTCTTTTAATGGTCAACCACTTCCAACCAACGATCGCTTTCAACTGACTGAGTCTGAAGATGGAACATCGACCCTATCGATTCGTCAAGTTGAACTTGTCGATCAAGGTGTCTATACTGTTCGAGCAACCAATGCTGTTGGTGAAGCTGAAGCTAAAACAACATTGAAAATTGCTTACGTCAAACCTGTCATCAACACTGATCTCAATGCTGCACTACAAGCCACAAAATATGAAACCATGACACTCAAAGTCGTCGCCAGTGGAATCCCGAAACCTGATGTTATCTGGATGAGAGACAATGATGAACTCACACTCAATGATCGCATTCAAGTGACACCACCGACTGATAACGATGACAAATACACAATGATTATCTTGAATGTACAACCAGAAGATCAAGGAGAATATTCAGCCAAGATTTCCAATGTTGGTGGATCACTCCAATCCAATAAGTGCAAAGTCACTGTTTCGAGTAAGTCGCCTTGATTTTTATTTTCTTTGAATACATATGCCCTTGTAGAATCGCCAGTGTTTATTGTCAAGCCGACAGGACAAAGAGTGAAACAAGGCGCGACAGCAGTATTCGTGGTGACAGTTGATGGATATCCACTACCGACTATTGCATGGCTTCTCAATGGAAAATTATTGGCAGCGAAAGAAGGTGTGCAAGAACAGTTTATCACTGTAACTGGTGAAGCTAAGTTATCCATTGGGAACATCGATCTAAAACAACATGCTGGTTGGATTACTTGTCGTCTCGAGAATCCGTATGGCTATCAAGAAGAGACTGTTCAACTTGCTGTTCTTGTTGCACCAATAATCACTACACAGTTGCCCAAAGAGCAAGAAATTGTGAGTGGACGAGATGTCACATTAAAAGTGGTCGTGCATGGATCACCACAACCATCTGCCCAATGGTTTTTCAAGGATAGACCCATTGAAGCAGGCGATGCAGTAATAGACGAGGCGAAGGGTGAATATCGGTTGTTGATCAAACAGACAACAGTGGTACAGAGTGAAGGAATCTATCGAGTCGTGTTGAAGAACGAAGTTGGCGAAGTACAATCGACTTCATGCCTACTTACAGTACTAGAGCCAGTAAAATTGACAAGAATGAAACCAGCATCGAATGATATTGACTTGGAAGAAGGTAAAGCATTCGACATCACCATGGATGTGAGTGGTAAGGAAACACCGGAAGTTCAGCTGACAAAAGACGACAAAGCAATAAAGTTTACAAGTGTGGAAACAACGCGATACACATTCTCAGTTGCTAGCGTAAAGCAAGAACATCAAGGTGTGTACAAGGTGACAGTAAAGAATAAGACGTCAACTGAAGAGATGACTATCACCCTCAATGTTATTGGTGAGTTTGCTTGTATTCCAAAAAAAAACATCTTGCAGCATACCCATTCTGTACATTCTCATGAAATGGAAATTTCTTAATTGTCTTTGGCTGCCATTGCGTAGCTAGATAGAGGACTATTTTTGTTATACGCATGAAAAATTTCAGCTGCAGCGTAAAATCGAGCAAAACTCTGCGACCCCTATCTGTCTCATTCATATTCACGCATGGCACATTTTTCTTAAAGTTTATTATTCGTTAGTTACATTGGTTAACATAACTGATACAATGATGTTTTAAAGATTTGTTTAAATATGATGCAGTTTCATAATGTGTCTTTCCATTGTTTTAAGAAGCTAAAATTTTCTCTAACAATGGAAGGTTTAGTACTGCTAGCAAAGAAAATCCCATGTCGTCAAAATCGCGCAAAAATCGTCGATTTTATCGCGATTTATTAGCCCGATTAATCGCCTAGATTGGTGATTTTTGCCGATTTTAGTCCCCGATTTTCTTTGCGGTTCTTACATGAAAGTGCGATTATTCGAATAATAATTCCAACGATCGAACCTGGTCATAGCATTTGGACCTACAACTATGGCTAGGTCTTGACCTCTATACCATTCTCGCTTACTATCGTACGCATACATGTTTCTCGCGAATCGGAGTGTCAGCTTAGCATCATTATTAAATTAATACTAACAGCAATACCTTTGTGTTACGATCATAAGAGAAAAGTATTGAAATTTATATTGAATGCTGTCATGCTAACGCAAAGTATCCCAGACTAATTTCAATTCTTTTATGTTCCAGTTTTATTTTAAAAGCATTGTAACTACTATTGAATCAATGCAATATTGCATCAATTTAAAAGTAGCTACAATGCTTTTGTATTAAAAATATCACGAAACAGTATCGAAATTACTCAGGGATATGACTTCGCTTTAGCATTACATTAATTAATAAAAATTGCAATATTTTTCTCTTAGAATCGTAACAAGTGTTGCTCTTAGCATTATATCGTTCTCCCTATTCGCAGTAAATAAAACAAAAAGAAAAATAAAAAATAAAAATATCTGTTATTCATTGAGACCACCGCGCGATCTAAATAACAACGAATATATTCTTATTCAGTGACACTTACCTGTTCATTGTGATGATAAGATGACCTCAATAAAAGAATAAAAAATTATTTTATTGAATAATACTTATCGTTTATTGAGATGTTGTAATAAACTAAAAAAAGAAAAAAAGAATATTTTTATAAATTTAGGCTTTCCGTTCATTAAGATACTTGGACGACTTAAATAAACGAAAAAAACACTGATTTTTGTAAATGAGTGCTTGTTGATGAAATTTGTTGCAGAATCGCCGATTAATCGCGATTAATCGCCAAAAGTAACGCGATTTTGATGACATGGGATTAGATATATTCATGTCACGTTGAAGATCTCAATGCCAAACTAATAAATTAAAAATATGAGCTGCTCGTGCTATGAACTGAGCGAGATAATTAACTTTTTAAGTATTTATGGTATGCGTAAGATTTCCACCAGTCAAACTCTTAACATCATTTATTTGTCTTTTTTTTCGTGTTGGTTGGATAAGGTGTGGGTGTGGATTTGGATAGGTCTTTTCTCTGACGACATTTCACACCCAGATTGTAGCATCGCCAAATACTCCGAACAATTTTCTACTTTCAAGAATGAGAGACATTTTTTGAAAATTTTCATAGATCTTTGGAAATATTACTATCTACAACAGTTAAAAGATTTCTGAGACTGTTTTGGAACCATACCGATATCAAAGCTCTTGAAACCATGTTTTTTGTTCTTGAGTGTTTTATCATCCTTGGATTTCTGAAAGTGCGTCAGTCGTAAGTCATGACCAATTCGAGTAAAATCATATTCAATCGATCTTACTGATTGCGTCAATACTGTTAGAGTAAGTAGATACATCTGAATATCCATTAAGTGAAACGTTCGGCTCAAACAGGTGAAGCATTCTAGCGATATATGTGTTACGAATAATTTATAGATACTGCTGAGTTTGGGACATCTTTTAGAAGTATACTTTGCAGTGAAATACTATTCTCTACAAATGATAAAGGTTATAATAGAGATTGTTTTACCATAGATTTTGTTGACCAGATGCCAGCTTTCGTGATTTTGGAATTGAATATCGATTAATGTATTTCTGTTTGGCGGTACTTGCCGTTTTCAGAATGCATCGCTATCTTGATAGAACAAATGAGGCGAATATGCATCATCAATTAGCCTGAGACTAGTTTCATTTGAAAGGACACATAGGAAAGATGAGTGTATGAGTGTGCTTGATGCGTTAGAAGGAGACTCACGCGCACCAAAAGAAGAAAGAATTTCTAAGTTTAGGATTATTTGAGTAGTATTTTTCATCGATGCTTATTTGTATTCGAGCTCGATCTGATTCATAGATAATATTGAAAATATGAAAATATAATGTCTGTATCTTGATTTGATTGTCAATTAAAATACTTTTGAGCCTTATTTCGTGATGTTCATACAGTAGAAGTCACTCGAGCACATATTAGAATATGAATTAGTGAAAACAAATACTCTGTCTACTTAAGATAGGGTTCGCACAAGCACACTCATACACTCATCTTTCCTATGTGTCCTTTCAAATGAAACTAGTCTCANATAAGTCCATCTTGTGCCGAAAAAAATATCGTTTTCACACGGTCGAAATTTGATTGCTTGAAGTTTGGACGATTTTGAAAAGAAAAAGGGCAACTGTAAAAAAAGCGGTCTTATGCAAATTGTAGAGCTTTTCACGCTGCATCTTTTAGTATATTATATGAAAAAAAAGTTCTTAGAAATTTTTCTATTAATATCGATAAGAAAATGTCGCGAACTTTTTTCCCATACTTTACATTAGAGAAATCTGAACAGATTCAATAACTTTTTATTAAGAAAAAATGAAAAGAATCAATTCAACAAACTCATCTAACTCTATTTTAGTAGCTTTGAGAAATTTAAACATTGTGTTGATTCCTATTATACAAATTTAATTTCAAATGACTTTTTTCTCGTCATATTTTGTTCAAATATCTGGCATGATATGCTGATCAAAATTGGTTAAATATTGATTGATGTCTCAATATAAAAAAATTGTCAGTTCTTTTTATATTTCTTTAGTCTATCCAACAAAATAAACATTGTCAAAAAAGAAAGAGTTAACATGATTTTATCGAAACATTTTCTTTTCAAACACATATTCAATTAGAACAAAATATGTATTACTGATATTTTGTTAGCAATACTCTGAAGGAATATACAAAAGGACTTCAACACAGTGCTGTCATTTCTATTTAGAGATGTAACGAGAGGATGTGTGTGGGTGTTGGATCCCAGTAATTAACACTACGCTTACACCCACACTCCGCATAGGACATTAGCCGATATATGAAAGTGGGAAGAAAGAAGGAGAGAGAAGAGAGGAGAGAGCGAATCGGGTTCTATTATCGTTCATAAGGTCAGAGTGTCTAAGCGCATTCTGGTCCAATTCTCTAACACCATTGAATTAAGGGAGAAATAAATACAGAAAGGTCAGAATAAGAATAAGTTACAAAAGACAAATGCGACATCTACATAAGTTTCTTGTTGAGGAAATGTCCGACCGCAAGAAGAAAAAACAGAACATAATTTACAAAGTTAACTATTTTCAAACAATTTTTAAAAGAAGATCGTGATCAAGCGTATTTTTTTTAATAGATTAATTCATCTTTGACAAACTGTCGTTTTGAAGGAACTTCTTTTGATACACAACTTTTTATACTTGTAAATTGGCCATATAAATCTTAACATATGGGTACTGTCGAATCGAGAGTTGTTCAAGTTTATAGGAATTGTAATCGAAGCTTTGGTTTATCGACAACTCATTTTTTTGAAGCCCTTACCTCTGGTAAACATAATTAAAACGTATTATCACTTATAAAAATAAATGTAATAGTTCACGAAGCGATAGTAATGAAGTAGAGATAAAATGCGTTTTCTAATGATTGACTTTTTTTTTAGTGAATTAACATAGCAAGTATTCAATCATTATCTGTTTCACAACTACCACAACATCAGTCTATATCAAATATTGATAGGAACAATTTTCATGCTCATTTCAAGTGTGTTTTTATTGTAAATCATCATTATTAGGTGGCATCGGGTGGCATTTATATGATTTGAATTTTTAGTATGTCTTTAATGATTTTGATTACTATCGAAATTGCTATAATACGTCTAGCAATCTAAATTTGCTCATAGCTTGGAAAATTCTACTGAAACGAACTAGATCACTACGTGCACAATTGTTAGGGACGTTTTCAAATACGGTATCGCAATGAGTGAATAAAATAAAATTGTTTAGTTTAAAACTTGATTTACTATGTGAAATAAGAAACTGTGTAAGACATTCTGAAATTCCTATAAAAAAACCGAACAAAGTAGAATGTTATTTTTACAAGACTTTTAGCTTCTTTTAAACCACCAAAATAGCATGGGAATGAGTTTGAACAAGATTTTTAGCAAAACTAAGTGTATTTTTTCCTGTTGTCCATTGTACAACACGTTTCAATTAGATATTCTGATGCAAAACTTCTGATCTTCAAATTAACTCGAAAAAGTATAATATTTCATTAGAATAAACAAATGTATAATTAAATTTTTAGGTGCTCTTAAAATAAATCAAAAGATAGGTTCAAACATTAATTTTGAGTTGGTTTATGGGATTTTTGCTGAAGCTTCTTTACCAGTAGAACAAAAAAAACTACTTTACCCATGATCAGACAACGCTATGTTTAACTTGTGTGGCATAATTTTATGTTTATCTCTAATTCAAGTTTTATGTGCGAGAGACTGTCCTGCTTCGTAAAAACTATTGATAAATAATAATAAGATCCAACGACTTTGGTTATTAATTATACGAAAATGAAAAATTTACTACATTTTAGCTCATTTGTTCGTGACAAATTCGCATGAAATTGAATTTACTGAACTTCTACCTAAACTTTTTCAATAACCCCTCTGGCAGGTTAATGTAAGTTGTAATACGTGCTTTTGCAACACAAGATATGTTAAATTACGTTCTTGATTAGATGCATATAATATTTTGATCGTATCGTATCTTTTACATTACTCAACAGAAAATGGTTTATTTGAAATAAACTTTATAAAATAAATTGAAGAATTTTAGGTACTCTATTTACATGATGATTGGTTGCGAAAATAAAACTAAATGGTTAGGTACGACTCAATGGATAAGATTTCGAATATTTTACTAAAGCATTGGCGAGGGAGAGATTTAATGTTGCAGTTTGTAAAGTTATCAATCAATATATTGTTACCTTGAACGCATACATACACGATAGGATTCATAGATACTCTAATCAGAACTGTCAATATTTATCACTACCCATTAAATTTCTACCAAAGTTAAGACTTCAATAAGAGCAACATCAGATATCAATATCGTTGAAGTACGCCTTTTCAAATGTAAAGCATCAGGTAATCGCTTTTATGATTCAGTCGATTTTCATTTAAACATGTGAAAAGGTGGTAAGCACTAGCGAATTTCAGCTGCAGTAACGAAAAAGAACACTTTCTTTTTTGTGACAATCGAGGGAGATAACGTTTGAAAGTTGTTTATTTTTTTATCAATAGAATTTATATTAATATGAACTATAAAAAACGATTGATTAATATGAACTAACAGTTTTGCGATGTTGGTTTCAAGCTACTTGTCTTGACACCATAGCTCGATAGAATATCTTTCAATTTGTCAACTACCGATGGTGATAAAGTTTTTGTTCGTCTAAAAGTAAATTGTATTGCGAATTTAACTTCAGTTGGATGCAGGCAAAAGATTAAATACTTACGAAAGAAACCAAATGAATTCTCATTTTCCAATGATAGGAATATTTCTGTAAGCATAGACGAGTGAATAAGTATCGTAGTCTGTAGCGAGAACATTGTAGTCACTTTTTTGATCTATAGAAGAAAGAAAATATTAGAAATGATCTTTTTAAAAAAGAGAAAGACTATCTTACTTGGATTATCAAATGTGACTTCGAGTGCAGCAGGTTCGATTGAGTGTTTTACTCTAGCTGAACCTCTAATACTTGTATATTTACCAAATAAACTGATAGCTTGATTCCAAACACCAACAGTTCCATCAGAGTTCGGTGTATACGTGGCATTGACACACTTAGAACCAATTTCGAAGATAACATTGCTTCGATAGGTTTCATACCACAAACCGACATACTAAAAAATGCCAGAACAATAATACATATATACAAATTACATGCAATATCTCTAGTGAAAATAACTCACTTTAGTAACATCGAAATTCTTTTGGGTAGGAATACTTGGACATTCAGCAGCATAAGAAACGCTGGTTAGAGCGAGAAGAAGAATAGTAGCAATTGTCAATGAGAACATGATGAAATAGTGTGCAATGGTGAATTGTCATGTTCGTCTACACTAGTATATACACGTATATACAGAGCCATTGTTATGTAATGTAGTGTGACGCACAAGTGCACTAGATCAATGCCTAGTAGAAAAGAGAAAAAATCACTGTAGAAAGATAAGAAGAGTCAATATTGATGGTACTAATCATAGGCAAAAGAATATTATAAACTACATGGGACAAAGTACAGTTTGGTACTGCAATGGTAAAAAACAATAATTACATCGATGTCGTCATGTATCGTGTTATGCACTAACATGCTGTTTTTCGCCGACATTGATAACCCTATGATGATTATCAACAGGTCTAAGTACTGTGTATACGTAATCATATATCATATTTAGATTTGTGCTTTATTTCGCTACTATCAACTGGTGCTGATTGGTCAAAGTACATTGTTAACTTTAATTAGCTTTGTTCGACGGCAAGTCCTTTCATCCTTTTATTTTCATTTGAATCACTAGAATTATTGTCAACTTGTTCTAGGAGACAGACCCTAGATTATGATCATATTATTGCCTAAAATTGTCAAAGAGATTCATATAAATTAAGATACTACCACTTTTGAATTATATCAATCATTAATGTTTAGAATTGTCTCATGTAAAGTATGCAAGATCTTGATTGAAATAATTTATTAATAATCTCTTGTCGCGCATTCAGCAATGATGCTATTAAATTCATTCTTGAATTTGTGGAAAGATTAATCTAGTTATTTCTGAAGAAAACTTGGTGTTGATCACATTGGTACGAAAATTAATATGAATATTAGTTTGTAAATATAACAAGTGATGTTTTAAAGTGATTTTTTTTCTAAATCAATTTTCCTTGATCTTTATTGAATTTGAATAGTTTGTTGACTTGTGTGTGACCAATTGGATATTGAACAAAGTATCACTATTATTTATCGTCAGTTATAAAACACAACAGCTTGGAAATACTGGTTCGTGATAATTACGAACGAAATTGATACAAAATAAACAGAAAATGTTTCGAATATACAGACATCCATTAATATGTTGTTGAAATTCACTATTTGTAAAGCTGGACATGATCCACTTTCCATAATATTTTTGTTATTGACATCAACCTTGTTTATCAACGCACTAACTTGAGTCAATCAGGTATTCCTTCCATTATTTTTCGATATTTTTCTATAGTAAATATTTTCCATTGTTACTTTAATTGCTCCTTGTACATTTTCTATTGGTCTCATAATTATCTATAAATTTTCTCAATCAATATCAGAACCATTTTTGTCTCTCCATGTAATACATCCATGCATTTTATTGTTTCTGAACGTTACGAACAGCACACAAAAAAGATTGCACACTTTTTTCCTATTTATAATGAAGACGATAAACAGCATAACTCAATATTTATATGTAGTAGAGCAAAAGTTACTCGCAATGAATGGGAGATGAAAAAATACAATTATCTTATCCATAAATGTTCCAATTATAATTCAAAAATTCTTATTATTTTGGAGATGCTTGTATCACAGTAACAATAAGAAGTAGAAAATTAAACTCCACCACGAGGTAGATCTAGAAAGTTAGTATAGATACTATAAATATCAATCTTTTCGGCTTCAGGAATATTTAAGACAAAATATTGCACGAAGGAACCAGAACTTCATATACATCTTTTATTTGTGTATGTAGCTACGGATAGAGTAACACGATACATAGGCATGCACCAAACCCAAACTCAAACCCAAACCGTTTGGGAGTTTGGGTTTTGGTGTGGGCATTGTGTTTGAGTTTCAATGTCAGTTTGCTACATCAACCCACTGAACTACTGGACTTAACATGTAATGCCATTTGTGTCAAGTATCTTTTCTATATATAACTATTTATCCTGCATAGATATAAGCAAAAGCATATTTCTATTCTTCCCATTGTTAAACAGTGAAATAAGTCATTCTCAATCCCGGAATCCTATCTTGAAGAATGGATATTTTTTTATCAGTTTGCCTACGGTCTGATTGATGAAAAATCGAAAGCACATTTCTCAATTGAAAAAGCGATTGTTCGATGTTCTATCATAATCAAACATTGGCTTTTAGTGAGGGGGGGGGGGGGTCATACAGGGGGCCCGCGTTCAACCCCAACTTTCTTTTAACTTAGGGATAGTCTAAAATGACTGAGCCCCNCATATGAAATAAAGTTTGAAATTGATTATACGTGATAATGGTAGCCGGGTGTGTTATACTTATAAACGGCTGCCGGTCGGGTACCGGGTGGAGTTATTCGGGTCCGGTTTGGGTTCGGGTACGGAGTTGTCGGGTCGGTTCGGACTCGGGTACGGAAAAAAAGCTCCGGTTCGGTTTCGGGTGGAAAAAAGTGCACCCGTGCAGCACTCTAGTTGAGAAATGAACGAACCTAACTGACCGTCCGAAGGTGTTAAGCCAATCGAAGAATTTCTCAGCGTCATCTGTCGAACACAGTGAATTCTCTTCGAAAAGCATCAGTTTGCATTTCTGACCTATTAAAAAGAAATAATATGTATGCAAGGTGACTGGAGAACACTGTGTGAAGTAGATTTATGTGTGAACCGGAAATTGATAATTTATCGGCAGTATGATATGATTGTGAGTAACTATAAAAAAGACAAAATTTGTATTTAGTACATGATCTGATGATAAAGAGTGTGATAATTTTGAGTTCGGTACGGCTCAGAATGATTGGATGGAACTCGCACCAAAAATCAGGTTTATTTTTCTGATTCTAGAAGTGTGAGACGCAATATCTGATCCAAAATCATTCTTGAGACATAAACCAAAATCCATTATAGGTGGCGCTAGTTTTGCAAATAACTCAAGAATATCTTAGGATCAGAAAGTGATTCAAATATAATCACAATCAGAAAATTTAACTTGATTTTCTGTAAAAGTTTCATCCAATCATTTTCAGTGCTAGTGAACCCAAAAAATTCGACATTATTTATATCTGTTCATAGACTAATTCTAGAACGGCAAACAAACAACTAGCGAGATTAAAGATCATTGGTTAGCAAGAATGTCGAATAGTGTACTCAATCGAAACAGTATTTCACAATGACAATAAATTTCTCCTAGTTCATTTGGTTGGATAAATATTTCAGAAAAGCATAACTTATCTTTTAAATATTCTCTCTTTTTTTTTTTTTTTAGTATAGAATGAATGAAGAAAATACTGATTCCAATGCGTCAACCTCTGTTGATGACAATGAAGTTCCTGAAAAATTTAAATTAGATCGAAATAAAATTCAAAAAGCAACATTAATCGATGAAAATGATGAAATTAATCAACTTGGTTTAAGTGTTTTTAATCAAGCCGATCTTGAACAAGGTCTTTATTTTTTTCTTGTTTAAAATCACTTTTTTCTTCATCATATATATGTTTATCTTTTTTTTTTTTGAATAGGTCTAATCGATCAAGTTGATAATGTTGTATCAAATCAAGAACGACATCATAAATTAGCTCATATTGAAAAACAAATTCAATCACTTGAACAAACAAATAGGTTAAATTATTTAATTTATTTTCGATTATATTTCATTTCGTTTTTCTTTTGAATAGTTCTCTTCGAAGTAGTATATCAGCAAAACAACAAATATTATCTACTATTGATAAAGCAACATATCTTGCATCAAGAAAAGATGTTCAAAAAGCAAATATTGAAAAAACAATGAAAGAATTGGTTTTATTTTCATAACCAAAAAAAAAAAAAAAAAGAAAAATTTATTAATTTTAACTTTTAGAAACAACAATTAGCAAAAAATATTGCCAAAATTAATTCACTTAAAACTGAACTTATAGGCTTTTCACCAATTGATGATGAAAATGAAGATAATCATGACCAACGTATGTATAAAAATCCAAATTTAACTTCGTAAACTAGACAAGTTGTTTTTTTTTTCTTATTAAATCAAGGAACAACAACATCAACTAGTCTTATTGATACATTAATGCCTACACTACATAATTATGATGAGAATGGTTTTCTTAAGACAACAACAAATCAAAATGAACGTTTAACGTCATTTGATTCATTTATGCAAAATCTTGATCATGAATATGATAAACGTAAACAATTAAAAAATAAAACTGTTGAAAAAAAACCAATTGAAGTTCAAAAAATTACTACGGCTCCTACACATCCACCGACTCCTCCTTTAACACTCGATGGTCCAATTGAATATCGTGATAAAAAACTCAAGAAAAAACCAACAATAATTAAAAAAACAAAAACAGCAACAAAGACACAACCAGTTCTAAGTTCTTCATCATCGGATGATGAAAATGGAGAAACGGATTCAAGTCAAATGGTTTATGATGAAGATAATGCTTGGTAAATTTTCATATTTATAAAAAAAAAAATATATGTTTCAGATAAAATTAAATACAGTTTTTAAAAGATTTAAATATTAAGTTATGTTCAAGTTTAATTGAAGTCTAGTTAAATCTAAGAAGTTATAGAGTTTACTAATGTATTTTTTATGTCGACTTTGTGTTCGGCTAAACCAAATATTCATCTCATTCCAAAAAAGACAATCTTTATGAGTTACAGCATATTTTGTGTACAAGGATATTTTGTTGAGTTTTATTCTAACCAAAAATAAAATTAAGAATATTTTAGTTTATATACTTCCTGTGATAGAATAATGAATGCCTTCTCTCAGAATTTAATACTTCAAATATTTAAAATGTTCATTCGCTTGTTAATAAAAACACATTCGAGGATCATTTTCCGATCTTGACGTTGAAGAAGTCATTCATGCATACATAATATATGAATAAGTAAAAATGAATAATCTCTCTAGTTAGAAAGAAAAACCAATTGAAATACATTTATTAAATGTTTCTTTAGGTTTGAAAGTGATGAAGACGAAAAACAACGTTTAGCTGATGAAGATGATGATTTTTATGAACCGAAAAAAAAGAAAAATCGTTCATCAGCAAAAGATGATGGTGATAATCAACAATATCTTGCACGTTTAAGAGATTTTTATTCTGATCAAAAACCTCCTAGTCATACAAACAATGGTGAAAATGATGATATTGAAATTGGTAAAGGTTTTTGGATACCATTAAGTATTTGGAATCGATTATTTAAGTAATATTAATCATTTTTTTGTTGTTGTTTTTTTTCTTCTTTATTTATATGATTTATTATTTAAAGTTATCAACGAGCTGGTGTAAAATGGTTATGGGAATTAAATGAACAAAAATGTGGTGGAATTATTGCCGATGAAATGGGTCTTGGAAAAGTAAAGATTCCAAAACAAAACAAAAATTATGTTTTCTATTGATTAAATTTCTTAGACTATTCAAATAATTGCTTATCTTGCTGCATTTCATTATAGTCGTGTACGAGATACTCAAAATCGGTAATATATATATATTATTTATCATTAAAAAAAAATTTATATCTTTAGTTATCGTGGTCTTGGTCCAGTACTCATTGTATGTCCATCCACATTACTTCATCAATGGGTTCATGAATTTCATGAATGGTGGCCTGAATTCCGTGTAGCTGTCTTGCATGAAAGTGGTTCATTTCAAGGAAAGAAAGGCGTAAGAATTTAATCTCACACATAATAACCATCATAAAGTTTGCCATCTATGATTTAATCTTTTTACTATTAAACTTTTCTTTCTCAAACTAGACAGTAAAGTTTTAAAAATTTGAATTGTATAAGAATAACATTAAAAAAGATTTCTAACAGATATGTCTAATAATATCATATATACTGCATAGTACTAATGAAATTGAAACTGAAAGTTTTATCTAAAAATTCGGAACAATCTTTGCACTAAAGATTTTTCACAAAAGTTTTATTGTTTTACGAGTATGCCAATGTTGGCCACTGTTATTTCTAGAAGAAATAATAAAGAAAACGGAAATAGTTGAATAAGTTGAGAGACAATTGTCAGTTTAATAGCGATGTTCAGAAAAAGAAACTATATTAAACATGAAAACATCTATATTTAACTACAAAGACGATAATCGATGTGAAATACGAGAATCATTTGAGGAGGATAGAATCGATATAAAGCACATGTGAAGAAATCTAATCTTGATGTTTTCATGAAGATTACTTTTGACACATGATTACATCAATTATAGTTAAGAGTTTAATCTCTAAACATAATTGATAAACAAATAGACGTCACTAGTATATCATACTACGAAAGTTATTTATTTATTATAGCATCAACTTATTCATAAAATGGGTACAACAGCTGCTGGTATTCTGATAACATCTTATGCTAATATTCTTATTCATTATGATACTCTTGTATCCTATCAATGGCATTATTTCATCTTAGATGAAGGTCATAAAATTCGTAATCCTGATGCTCAAATAACAACAGCTTGTAAATCAGTAAGCATATTTTTTTTCTTCTTATTCTCATAAAACATCTGTTTTCGACAATAAAAAGAAAAAAATTCTTTTTGTTTTTTTTGTAGTTTCGAACACCACATCGATTAATTTTATCGGGTTCACCAATGCAAAATAATTTACGTGAATTATGGTCATTATTTGATTTTGTTTTTCCAGGAAAATTAGGTACATTACCAACATTTATGGAATATTTTGCTATACCAATAACACGTGGTGGTTATGCAAATGCAAATCCAATTGAAGTACAAACAGCTTATAAATGTGCATGTATATTACGTGATACAATTAAACAATATCTTATACGACGAATAAAATCTGAACAAAATGTTGTTTTACAATTACCAACTAAAAATGAACAAGTACTTTTTTGTCGTTTAACTAAAACTCAACAACATATTTATAAAGAATATTTAAAATCACAACAATGTAAAGATATTCTTAAAGGTAGTTTACAAATTTTTGTTGGTTTAATTAATTTACGAAAAATTTGTAATCATCCGGATTTATTTACTGATTGGTCACAATATCGTCCAGAATATGGTGAAGATCCTAATGAAGTTAGTCAATATGGTTATTCTAAACGATCAGGAAAAATGGTTGTACTTGAAACCTTATTAAAAATTTGGTATAAACAAAATAATCGTTGTTTATTATTTACACAAAGTAAACAAATGTTGAATATTCTGGAAGGATTTTTAACTAAACATAATTATTCATATTTAAAAATGGATGGAACAACACCAATTGCATCTCGACAAGGACTTATTACACAATTTAATTCTGTATGTTAATAAGAACTAAGGATATCGAACACAAATGAATTTGAGTATAGACTAAATGTAGATCTACAAATTTCTAGTATTAGATATTTGAAAGAGTTCAGGCTCTTGATTAATTGCAACGAAGATACTGCATTTTTTATGATAGTTTTTAAGTGATTACCGTAGTCTATCTTGGAAGCGTCGCAATAACTGATTTTTGAATTTTGACTTGAAACTTAGCATAAGGTGCAGGCTATAATTAAAATAGGTTATTGTGAAAGTTGCCAAGTTTCAAGTCAGAATTTGACAGTAAGTGTGTCTGGGCGGATGTCACAGCATTCAGTAAAAAAAAAGTGTTGAAATGAGGTATTTTTGTAGCAATCAGATAAGGGTTCGAGTGCTTTTCAAGATACTCATAGTTCATTGGAATCTACATGATGTATATCGTTCCGATTCAAAAGTAGTTAATTAGTTAGAAGACTTGCCTCGTAAGTGGAAATCTATCAGATTTAATTTGGAGTCTTTTCAAAATCATTCCTAAGTTTCAGTTTTATATATTTCTTCATAGATTACTTTAATATGAGTTTGAATCCGTTAAGTTAATGATCGATGAAAACATAAATTCTTAGTTGTCTAATTTTCTTTAGTATTGTTTTTTTTGTTAAATAGGATTCATCAATATTTGTGTTTCTTTTAACAACACGAGTTGGTGGTCTTGGAATAAATTTAACTGGCGCAAATCGTGTTTTAATTTTTGATCCTGATTGGAATCCATCAACAGATATGCAAGCAAGAGAACGAGCTTGGCGTATTGGTCAAACAAAAAATGTAACAATTTATCGATTATTAACATCGGGTACAATAGAAGAAAAAATCTATCATAGGCAAATTTTTAAACAATTTTTAACAAATCGTGTTCTTCAAGATCCAAAACAAAGACGTTTTTTTAAATCAAATGATCTTCATGAGTTATTTCGTTATGATGATGATAATAATAATGATAGTGATGATGAACGTACTGAAACATCTATATTATTAGCTGGAACAAATTCCGAAATAAATTTAAAAGAAAAATATGATAAACGAAAACGAAATAAACATGCTAGTAAGATATTTTTGTGAAATTCACTTTAGATTTTTGAGTATAGTTTTGAATTGTCCTCGACCAAATGCCATATAAATAAGAGTTCTTCGTTGTTAATTAGTACTTTTAATAAAAACCAATTCTCGACCAGTAACATAGTCATTTTTTGATTACTTGAAGAAGAAAAGTTCTGATATATATATATATGAAAAACTTTGTTTTACATTTTTCTAAAAATCAATTTTTGAACAATAAAGAAACCAAACTTTTCTCCCCTACGGTTCGTCCGATCAGGCTTAAAATAAGGGTGTGTGCTGTCTTTTTTATTCAAAATGTTATTCCTAAAAAATTCGATCGAATTTAAAAAAATTGTACGATTGAAAAAAACACGTTTTTTTTATGGTGCCTCCAGTATTTTGCTTTTCCTGACCTCTGGGAACGATATTTTGGAAACAACAAAAAAAGATACGCATCCCGATTCGAACCTAGCTGTCACAAAAAAAATGCAGCTCGAAAGGATGAAATATAGAGTTTTGTGGGAGGAGACTTGTGGCCGTATTGGACTTTTGCGACCTCCAATCGCCTTGAAAAAAGTGTCTGAGAGATGTGGAATCTTTCCCAGAGTGGCTTAGCAGCAGAAAAAGGTGCTACACGGCATTAACAATAAGACTTAGACTGTTCTAGATCATTTCAAAGCCTTCCTCAAAGTTCGAATTGTTGAAATACAATTGTAAATGTTCTAAATTATACATTTTTTTAAAAATTTTTGTGCCAACTAAAATTTATATTAAAGGTGTCAAGGATGATAAGTAATCGTGTATTGATTTGCCACAATCGTCATATGATCAACATAAAAAGCGCGAACTAATCCAGTTATAACTTTAGAGAAAGAATCAAATATCAGTGTTTTTGGAACTTATTCAGACATGTAATAGAGCATAGAGATCTATTGTAGATATGATAAATATGTACAATAGACTCATCTGCCAGTCTAATTGATTGGCTAGAGTAGTAAGAAAAAAGAAATACGAAAAAGGAAAATAACTAGCGAATAGCAATAAAGCAAACAAGAGATAGAATGCCAGTAGAAAAAGAAAAAAATGTTTGTTCGAAATGCGGAAATAAATGTGACAGATCGTTCCTCTGGAGAATTACTTATGCTTGAAAAACAACTGTAGACCACTAAAGATTATTCATCTGACATATTTTATCCTCAGCGAAGCTGCATAAACGAGCTTTCTTTTTTTATTTCTTTTAATGAACTAAAATAATTATGTATTTTTTTCTTAATATAGAATTTGAAGGACAACGTGTACCAAATTTAACAAAAATTGATAGTAAAATTTCAACAAATCAACAAGAAGTTCAAAACGATATTGATAAAGAAAAAGATGATTATGTATTAAGTAAATTATTTAAAAAATCTGTTGTACATAGTGCACTTCAACATGATAATATTGTTGATCATTCAATAAATGATTATGTTTTTATTGAAACAGAAGCTCATCGTTATGCAGAAGAAGCTGTTAAAGCACTTCGAAAATCTGCACAAGATTGTTATTCAGCTGAAAGTGGTATACCAAATTGGGGAGCAAAAAATATTCAACAGTAAGTTTGTATAATAAATAAATCAAACAAAACATATAATTTTTTGTTTTTTTTTAGTATACGTCGATTTGGTTCTCGTACTAATAAAGATGTTATTATTCCAGATGATGACCAATCGTCATCATCATCATCTATTGTTAAAAAATCCAATACTCGATCTTCAAGTGCATCAAGTAATTTACTTAAAGATATTCGTGAACGAAAACGAGAACAATCGGATTTTGTTGTATATACAAATGGTCAATCAATAGAAAATGATGATGAAGAAAATCATTCAAATGATGAAGGTTTAATATTAATACGTGAATTAAAAGATTATTTAAAAGTTGGTACATCTATTCGTGGTAAAGCAACAACAGCTGAAATAATTGATCATTTTCAAAATCGTCTTAATGGAAAACCTGGTCTGATACCTAAATTTAAATCATTATTAAAACAAATAGCTAATCTTGAACGAACATCATCTGGAATTGGTTTTTGGATTTTAAAGGAAGAATTTCGAGAAACATAATCTCTCTATATTGTTTTCTAATGTCTCTTTTTAAATTATAATCGGACATAACTTGAATTTCCTTTTTTTCTTTTCTGTCTCAGATATGAACTATTATTGAACAAGTGTAACATTGAATTTATAAATTTATTTGCTTATTTTATGATTTTAGATATGTCTGCCGATCGTGCCGGTCGAGCGGAAATGGGTAGGTTATATTTTTCAAAAAAATTTCTTTTTCTTATTTTATAGAACAACATAAATTTTCATTCTATTTCAAGTTCGTATAATATTGGAAAATGAATAAAAAAATTATGGTATAATATTAACGGGTGTTTGATGAAAATTTGCTATTGAAATTGCTTTGCTTATTATTGAAATTAGTTTTTTACTTTTACTTTTTATTTTTATAGTATTAGTTATATCATTATTTATATCTATGGGAAATATATTTAATTTAGCTGTAAAGCATTGATTTTTTTCCTCACTATTCATTTTGATAATTTTACTAGAGGGATGGATAGAAGTTTTCTCAAAGTTCAATGTATATAAAAGATTTAAAGTACGAATGACGAACTTGCTCGCATTTTCTTGAAGGTTATAAATAATGATAAGCGAAAGCAATCGATTTTGGTTCTAGTTTCGTGCCTAGTGCTAGCGAAAAGTGCAATATTATTTTCTAGATAGTGTCAATGAGATCGAAATATTTCGCACGATCAGTATGACTTAATATTCTTTCTTTTAGAGACTCTTGACTTTGTAAAATTCACAGATACCGCTACCAAAAAAAGGGTTGGTCCTGATCTCACCGGGACTGAGATTATGTTGTCCATATCTAGTTACAAATCTATATTAACACGTAAAAATTAGGTATAGATTAGTGATCGTGATTATCGGTGCTTCCATACACCAATGTTTCGGCCTAGACGTTCGTGTATAGACTAACAGTGGATGAATGGTGATCTGGGGGCACTTGGGAACATTTCATCGTAAATGTTTCTCGAACGTGGAAATTGAATTCGAGAAGTTTAACCGATCCATTATAGATTCGAATTTTTGGATTCCAAAAAGTTTTAATGAAATTTTATAAAATTCAGTTATTTCTTTTGAAAAGATGCTTGCTTGGTCGAATTAGTCGAAATCAATCTGACATTAAGATCATTGTATCATGCGTTCATCATTAGTCTATACGTACATGTCCAGATCGGTGCATCTCTAATGGAAAAAGATCTTGTTAAGGAAGAACCCGAATTATGGGACGTTGATGAAACTTCTATTTTATTACCAAATGGAAATGGAAATGAGATTTTCATCTGAAATCATGGATAGTTCTTAGTGTCACTAGAATACTCGAAAAATTTCAGTTCAAACAAATGTATTTGACGTGAGAATATTGAGTGTTCAAAGAATCACAGTACTTTATGGGCAAAGTAATAGGATTGATTGATCTTTAAAATTCGTTTAAATTGTAATTTTTAGAATATCCTAGTGACCATGAGAACTATTTATGGACGAAATTCTAGCTGATAGATTTCCGTGAATATCGAACCTAGAGACTGTAAATTCCAATAAAACGGCCATAAACATGGCTTAATAAAGAATGAATTCGAATTNTTGTAAAATTCACAGATACCGCTACCAAAAAAAGGGTTGGTCCTGATCTCACCGGGACTGAGATTATGTTGTCCATATCTAGTTACAAATCTATATTAACACGTAAAAATTAGGTATAGATTAGTGATCGTGATTATCGGTGCTTCCATACACCAATGTTTCGGCCTAGACGTTTGTGTATAGACTAACAGTGGATGAATGGTGATCTGGTGGGCACCTGGGAACATTTCATCGTAAATGTTTCTCGAACGTGGAAATTAAATTCGAGAAGTTTAACCGATCAATTATAGATTCGAATTTCGGGATTCCAAAAAGTTTTAATGAAATTTTATAAAATTCAGTTATTTCTTTTGAAAAGATGCTTGCTTGGTCGAATTAGTCGAAATCAATCTAACATTAAGATCATTGTATCATGTGTTCATCATTAGTCTATACGTACATGTCCAGATCGGTGCATCTCTAATGGAAAAAGATCTTGTTAAGGAAGAACCCGAATTATGAGACGTTGATGAAACTTCTATTTTATTACCAAATGTAAATGGAAATGAGATTTTCATCTGAAATCATGGATAGTTCTCAGTGTCACTAGAATACTCGAAAAATTTCAGTTCAAACAAATGTATTTGACGTGAGGATATTGAGTGTTCAAAGGATCACAGTACTTTATGGGCAAAGTAATAGGATTGATTGATCTTTAACATTCATTTAAATTGTAATTTTTAGAATATCCTAGTGACCATGAGAACTATTTATGGACGAAATTCTAGCTGATAGATTTCCGTGAATATCGAACCTAGAGACTGTAAATTCCAATAAAACGGCCATAAACATGGCTTAATAAAGAATGAATTCGAATTCTCTGAGTCTTCACCTAATCTCACTATATTCTTCTTATAAGATAATTAAAAGCTCAATCAACATCCAACAGTTCGAGATATTTCCTCGTTAGTCCTTTCTCATTCCTTAAAATTCTGAAACATTTACTATTCTATTGCTAGAGTTCTGTAAAAATCAGATATTAGTAAAATACGCTCGAAACCTAAAGCTCAAATAAATAAATGTTCAGAAAAATGATGTTAGATGAAGTTGTAGTATATGCCTGATGACTTTGATCAGTTCAAAATCAATGACAGAACTACATTTGATTTCATTTTCCAAAAATTTATATTGTTGAGATTTTAGATCAGAGCGTATTTTACGCATATCCATAACAATTCAGTATCTGAATGACATAAGTATTTATCTAATGAAGACACACACTCTAGAGATAATCATCTCTTCTGTATAACTATCTTCTAATATCTGACAAAGTCTTTCTATCTTATCGCTATATGGAATTCGTCAGTGTTCAATAAATACTTGTATACTCATTGAACTTTTCACAATGTTATGAATGAACATTGAAAGATATACTGATTATAAATTGTATGTTCAAATGCTTACAGAAAATGAATATAATATGATGACTTACAGATAAACATGATGATTAAATTATCTTTTCATAAGTTTTATCTAATTTTTAGTGATTCTTACCGGTAATTCATATCCAGAATTAGCGGAAAATATTTCGAGGTATGTTGTTTTCTATCATAACTTTTGTTTCTTTTGTGATATTAACTTTGTACTAAATAAAGTTTGATCTATCACACCTTAAATACCGTTTAACTTGAACTAATTTTTTTTTATAGAAAAATTTAATAAACATGTGGATGTGTGGTGCATGCTGATTTTTTCCTCTCATTATAGAATTGTTCATTCTTACAAAACTGACAGTATTCAGTATGTATTCTGTATTATAAAAAGCATATTTCTGTGTTTGTTTGTGTTTGGCACATTCATGTTTTATTTGTGGATTGATTTTTCTTGTTAAATAATTATAATGTTCTTTGATTTTTATTTTAGTCGCGTTAAACCTCTTGGTGAATGTCTTGTTTTTAAAAATTCTGATAAAGGTATGTTAATAAAAAAAAAAAAACTTGATTATTTATTTAACATTGGAAACGTCTTTGTTTTTTTTTTTTGTTTCTTTCTTAAAAGAAACTCATGTTGAAATTCATGAATCAGTTCGTAGTAAAGATGTTTTTATTATTCAAACGGGTTCAACAAAGTAAAATAAACATTATGAACAAAATTTTTATTAATTTTTATTTTAATCAGAGATCCTAATGATAATCTTATGGAACTTATGATAATGAGCTATGCATGTAAAACATCATGTGCAAGAAGTATTATTGTAAGTTTTTGAATGTTTTATATATAATTGATGAATTATGTATTTCAGGGAGTTTTACCTTATTTACCTTGTAAGTCAACATGAACATAATAATAGGAAATGAATTTAAATTTAGATAGCAAACAAAGTAAACAGAGAAAACGTGGATGTATTGCGATGAAACTTGTTGCTCAAATGCTTGTTAAAGCAGGCTTAACACATGTAATAACTGTTGATTTACATCAAAAAGAAATTCAAGGATTTTTTGATATCCCAGTTGATAATTTACGTGCATCATCTTTTCTTGTTGATTATGTTAAAGAACAAGTAAGAAAAGAATTTTTTTTCTTATAATAGAAGAAATTTTTTTTTTCTTTATAAATGAATTATAGATCCCTGATTGGCGTAATGCTGTTATAGTTGCACGTAAACCTAATCAAGCTAAACGTGTAACAGGTTTTGCTCAACGATTAAAATTACATATTGCTGTTATACATGGTTGTCAAGATCGAGAAAATGAAATTGAAGAAACTGATGGACGAAATTCACCACCACCATCATCTTCTGGTTTAGATAATCTTGTACCGATGTCAGATCGTCGAAGTGTATTTACAATTCCTTCACTTGCATTAGGCGAACGTAATTATTATCGATATTTTCATGTAGAACTATAATTATCTATAAGCATAAAGCGAAAACAAAATAGAGCAACATTTAAGCTATTGTAATGTTTCGTCTATGTTGAGTTTAATCTACAAAAAAAAAAAAAGCCTTCTTTCTTACATGAACATTAGTTTTTCTTTTTATTATAGAAGTTAATGTCAAAGGTAATTTACCAATGGATGTTGTCGGTGATGTTGGTGGTCGAATAGCTATAATTGTTGAAGATATGATTGATGATGTACCCGGTCTTGTACAAGCAGCTGATATACTTTTTGATCGTGGTGCATATAAAATCTATGCACTAGCAACACATGCTTTATTTACATGTGATGCACCATTATTAATTGAAAAGTCTCGAATATCTGAAGTTATTATAACAAATACAGTACCACATGAATTTGCTAAACTTCAATGTTCAAAAATAAGAACAGTTGATATTAGTTTACTTTTATCAGAAGCTATTCGTCGTATACATAATCAAGAATCAATGAGTTATTTATTTCATAATGTTGAACCAAATGATTGAAAATTTATTTATTTATTTATTTATTTATTTATTTATTTATTTTGTAAATTTTCCTTTTCCTTTATTTGATACAACAATAATAAAAAAAACAATTATTCTTTATAGTCTAGCAGAGAATGAATTAAAATATTCTTATGTATTGTTTTTGTTTTATATAAGAAGAAAAATTATTTGATAAAATTCTTAAAAAATAAAGGAAAAAGAAATACTTTATTTTTTATTAATTTAAAAAAAAAAATATTAACTTAAATTTTACTTGATTGAATTTTTTTGTCCATTTTGTTTTATTTTTAATGAACCAAATCTTGTTTGAGCAAATGTTTGTATTGATAAAATTGGTGTTGAGATTGAATTTGACCATGATACAAAATCAGAATCCATTACTGGTGATAAACTTATCATAGTATCATTTGATTGCAATATTTGCATATTATGATTAAAAGGTTGAATAGAAATAGTAGATTCTATTGGATAATTTTCGTTTATATTATAAGATATAAAAAATATATCTTACCATGATGAGATATTTCGTCTGTATCACTTGATGATTCAGTATGTCGTATTAGATTTCTTTCATCCGCATATAAAATTTGAACTAAAATTAAATTTATTTGATTTATGTCTCTTTAAAAAGAAAGAAAAAAATTAATATTTACCGGGTTCTTTTTCTCCGATACGATATGATACTTCACCTGGATCAATCCAAATAGTAAGATCATTTGGTAATGAATCAAGTATTTCTTGTAAATTCAAATTAACATCAACAGTAGCATTAATAAGAATTTTATCGATTTTTTCTTTACTAATACGTATTGATCGATATGCAGAACCTTTTGTTGGTCTTTCTGGATACCAATGATCTTGATATTTAATATGTAAATATTTATGCATTTGTTCACCAAGCATATTAACTCGACTGAAAAGAAGAATTTATTGTTTTTTTTAAAGTTTTCTATTCATAGAACGTACCGACGTGGTAATTTATTGTAAAGATAAGCGATTAAAAAATTTAATGCAATCGATATTTCGATTTTCATTTTATACTGAAAAAAAAAACAAAATTAAAATATATAACATAAAAACAAGTTTCTTTTTTATTATTGACATATTTCTAGCTCAAATAGTAGATAAACACAGAATTAAAAAGATTGATTTCGATGTTCTATTTGTGATCGAATAATGAGATTATGATGATAAATAAAATGAGACATAAAGAACAAAAAAACTAATACTATAGAATAACTGTAATTTTAATTTGTGAACATCTTTCATTTGTATCATGGACTTTTTCTTTTGAATCACTAAGAGAAAATAACTAATAATATGGTCATTCATCGTCGTGGTCTTAACAGCAGCTGCATTTTTTCCTTTAACCTTGATAAATCTATAGTAATGTGCGTATAATATTTCTTTTCACACTTACGTAAAAATTCAAAAGATTAAGTTTATTTACGTATATCTTTTTTTGAGGGGAGTGCAAATAATATGAATAATAAAATGATTATAGTTACAATTTTTGCTATTGTTCTATTTAGTTGTCTATCATGAAGAGTTTCATTACTTTTATTCTAATAGTAATAAATTAATGAATGAATAATGCACATATAAATATATAACATATATGTAGGTGGTAAGAAGATTGATATCGGAAAAAAAAAACACAAAGAGGACTATCGTACGATAACCAGATTTTTTCTTGTCATTTTACTAATGCAATTTCAATTACCCATATTTTCTTCTTTTTTCTTGTATAGAAGACAAAACAGAAAACAATATTAATATAGTTTCTGATGTACTGAACGTGATCTTCTATAATAATATCTGGATATTTTCCAAAACAAAAAGAAATACTTCACTCTCGTTAATGGACCCGCCAAAAAAAAAAGAGGTAAGTGAGTTCCTATTTTAACATTCATACCACACCTTTTTATTTTTCTATACCTAATTAAGACTTTCACACCTATTCTCATTCATCATGCTCTTTTTCAACATGAACAAGAAACAAAAAGAGACGAGACATCATCATCAAGCAATATACTCATTTCGAGGTGTCATTATGTGAATACCTCAAGTGATGTGTCAGTTCTTATATTAATCAACCAGCTACACTATTATTATTAAGAGTTCAGCTCATCACGCAATCTTTTTTTCCTAATAAAATCTATGGAAAAAATCTATGAAGATTGAAATTAGAATTAAGAAAAATAATATAAATTTTTAGCTCGTCTGACACATCGCAATTGTAATAAGAAATTTTTTTTTTCATTCATTAGGTCAACAGAAGAAATAGAAGTGATAATTTTAATAAATATAAATCTAAAAAGTCTTTGAGCAGCGTGTTCGTTCAATTTTTTTGTCACTTAAAAATCACTGGAGAAGATCAAAAGTAATCAGTTATTATTAGAATTCAATGTTCATTTTAAATACATTTTCAAAAAAAGTTTTTTTTTCTCATTCAAGGTTAGTTTACTAATATTCTACACAACGGCGAATTATAGTGTGCCAAAGCTCAAAAGAAGCAAACATTTTCCAACGAATTATTCTTTAAATGAACCAGCATTTTCGGATTTCTGATATTTAAAATAAAACGAATTTCGATCGCTTTAAGTGACATATAAAAGGACGACCATATTCGACAGTTTGTAGAGTATATTTGTGTTTACGAACTAGTAAATCAGAATAACTCTAATCAAAATACAAAAATGCACCAAAAGCAACATTTTTTACAGAAATTTTTTTTTTGGGGTATCATTCAACTATATGTTTCCGTTGAGACAACTTTAAGTCAGAAAAAAACATTCGAATATATATTTAAGAAGAGTATCAAATTGCAATTCTAATCAACGACGTTTAATTGTTTCTAGGGGCTTAAAAGTAATCTCGAACTTGTTGTTGAAAAACTTCTTATACATCAGTGAAAAATGATTCCTTATGAAAAATATTCCATGCAAGTAAATACGAATGTGTGTTTTACTTTTGTCATCCAACGACGAGTTAAGAAAAAAATATTCGAATAAATTTTGTCAGTAGAATTAAAACTATAACAGAATACATGTAATCAATTAGATGACCGAACTTGTAGCCACATGAATAGAACGTCGCAATATCCTTTTTAAGTGTAGATTTTAGCAAAGAAAGTGTCAATTCTAATAGCCTAGCTACACATTCAGACCGATATACGCCTGCACATCCTCACAAACTCATTTTCTGATATGTAAATATATAGCATTAAGAGATAGGGCAATGTTCTGTCCTGCAACGCAAAAGGTTTAGTACCACAATAATAAGCAAAGTCGAGTTTTTATTGAAAATAGTTATAAAAATCTTGGATTAGATCTTTTAAAATAAATAAGAATCTTAGTTTAGTTAGAGCTTCAGAGTCCTAACAACCCAACATAGTACAATTTAAACAAAAAGCTTCAGCAGTTTTATCTAAAAACATTATTACTCTTTAAAAAAGTCAACATATTTTTTATTGATTATGCCATCTTGTATCAAATGGTCTATTGATGAGTCAACAAGAAAGTAATTATTATTATTGGATTTTAGATCGATGATTTCTTAAAATCACGGATATAATTTTTTTGTCTTTTGCTTTTGATTAAATGCGCGAATCAATTTTATCTCTATGAAAAAAATTTTTATTCGATACAATGTATCTCGTTTGTGTTCTTTTGATTGAATTTGAAAAACTGAAATAAAAAAAAATATACAAATACATATAAGAAAAATTGAAAACAAAAATATGAGAAGGATAATACAAAAAAAAAAATATATAAACTTGACAAGTTTGACATACGGATTGTGTTTTAGTGAGTAAAATAGAAGTTTTAAAGATAACTTGTCACAGGAGCATTTTGACGATTTGAATGACGTTTTGATTGTCCTTCTCTGGAAACATTAGTTTGATTGAAATTATATACATTGGATAATGGCGGTGAGAAAATTCCTTTTTTTGATACAGGTGACGACGAAAGATAAGCAGATTGAATAGGAGCTGAATGTGGTGGAGAAATATATTGATGTATGTTTACTGGATTTGAATATGTATGTTGATGATGAGCATAATCGGAACCATTAGTTGTTTGTGAAATACCTTAAACATTCGAATTTTCTTACACAAATATTTAGTCCAATGGAATCACTTGATTAAAATTTTTCTATTCAGATAAATCAATTCAATTGGATACTGTAGAATTCGACAAGCTAATCAAATCCGACAGAAAATCGAATGACAAAATCAGTAACAGATTTTGATAAGATCCCTCTAAAAGGCTATAAAATTCCGCTGGAAAACTCATTTTCTTAACTCTTTGCATCAACTTTTCGAAAGCCGCTTTTGAGCTTTCGAGGTTAGTTGCTCTATTTTTCTTTCAATTTGATAAAGTATCCGTGGATAAAGTTATGACTTGAGCTGTCGAAGAAAAATTTTTTGATGGCTCATCACTTGACTTGTGACTTAATCAAAAAATACAAGTCAAGTCGTACATATTTTTTCAATCAACATATACTTTAAAATTACACAACGTAAGTTTATACTGTACTCAAATATGAATTTTTTTCTTTTTGTCATGAGTACAGCATTTGAAAATACTATATTTGTCATCGTAGTAAATCTCAATAGTCGTTATAATATTAGGGAAAAAATCTAAGATTATGATTAACAGTTGCATGACCAATGAGTATTATTTTTCGGCAAAATAGATCCAGAATGTCAAGAAAAACATTATAAACGTTAACCATAATAAAAATGTAATCATGGGTTGATGTGATTTATTTCCAAATAAATTATTGCATAATAGAATAGCTAAATTTTAAAAAATATTCAAATAAATGGTGAGAGACTTGGTTCGAAATTTGACTTAGTATTGCAAACCTATGACTTGACAGCAGAACTTTCAAATTTGGTGACGATTTGACTTGACTTGGGTCGACAAATAGGTGACTTGTCCATCCTCTGCTCGAAGGTTTTGACTGAGTTTGATGTGGATAAAACAGTTTGGCATCGATAAATATGTTCTTATTTTGCGGCAGGCAGTAGTCTTTTATTTTATACCTGCCAAGTGATCTTCTCGTCTAACATCTTTTCATGAATGTGTTGTTCTCACAGGTATGACAATTATTAATATATGTATGCATCTCTCTCTATATATATTATAGGAGTGTTAGGTGAGTCACATGTAGTCATTCTGATGTAAACAAACACTCATAAAATGCAATATATAGAGGATAAATCTCTGCGAAGTAATGCTCCACTCCTACTTTTTATTAACTCAAATAGCATTTATTTCCCGAAAATAACGATATTTCATAAAATTTAATTAAAAAAAAACTCTCGACACCAATGATTTTGTATATACAGCTGATGTCTCGAAACTTCAAAGTCGATTTTTATTATTCAGAAGAGGTTTATTGGCAAAACGGAGCGTAGTGCAAAAAATCATAGGACCATTCGATTGTAGTTTATAGAGTGAAATTAATGATGAATCCGACGATGAAGATACGGATGGACATGCAACGAAATTCATTCGTGATATTTAACAACATGTGACTGAGTATTATAGAAATGTGATAAGATTTGACCGTTGAATTGATTTTGCTGGATATACTAATACATCGATATCTCTTAAAATATTCACTAATAAAATGTGAACCATTCGAAAGTCCATTAATATTCGAAATACTAAACTTTAATTACCTACTAATGCAAAAATTTTTGATATTTCATCAATTTATAAAAATTGTATAATTGCACTATTAGTGCAAAAGCCTCGAATCTACTCAGACTTTATTATTTGTATACATAAAGGATAGTAGCATCGAACAGTTTTCTCATATTTTTTTCAGACTAAATCGAACTCACCAGAATGTGTTGGCATGTAAGAACCATATGGATAAGGCTGTTGTTGAGATCGATATTCTCCTCCATTAATAAACGGTTGATTATGTGATGGATGTATTAGACCATTAATACTACTACTACTATTATGAACTTGTTGAATCCATTTTGAAATCGGATCTTCAGAGCTGACTGGAAGTTGATATGGACGATGTCCATTTAATTTATTTGATTGTGGTGGTTTCATAAAATCCGTTGACGTTGATTGATCTGATGTGCGTGATGTAATCATAGTTGCATTAATTTTTTCTGATGTACCTTTTGCAGAAAGATTTGGCACTGATTGATGAACTTGTGATATTGTTTGTTTTTGGCGAATTAGTAAATTAGTATCAGATGTTTGATTATTTGAATTTGTTATTCCAACATGTAGATTTGATGGATGTATAGATTCAAGTCGTTTTTTATTTGATGTTGGTGATGTTGGCTCAACTTTTGATGAAATATCATTTTTACTTGATCGATGTGGTTTAAACGCACTTTTGCCATTTTCATGATGAATATTAGTCTCTGTTAAATGAGCAATAAGTACAGATTTAGGTGTTGATGGAATTATTACAACTGGTTTCACAATTTTATGTGAACATTTATTTTGATTATTAAGTGATGTTCGTTCTTGTGGTATTGTCTTGAGATGATATTGATCATAATTTTGATTTGTTTGTTGTTCAATATTATGTTCATCTTTTAATGTTAGATTTTGATTTGATGGTGGAACAAAACGAAAACGTGGTCTTGATGATAATTTATCAATAGAAGTTAAATCAATTAAACTAGCACTAGTATTATTCGATCTTAAATGATTTGTTTTATCAATTAAAGCAGATAGACGTTCATTAGATTGAAAATTTTTTGATGATGGTTTTATTAATAAATCTTCTGTTGATGTTGCTGTTGTTTGAAGTAGATGTGAACGAGAAGCTTTTTGTATTGTTATTGGTGTTGGTGATGAATTTATTTGATTAAGATTATTTTCTGATGTATGACGATGAACATTATTTGTACGATCACTTGATATTATTTGTTCAAAACGATCACGAATATTTTGAAATTGATTAGAATAAGTATTTGGAGAAGTTATTATAGAAGAAGTATTTGTTTGAGCTGATTTAATATCCTAGAAAAGAGATGTTTTAATGAGAAATTACTTTGAAATAATAAATTGGTGCTTAAGGGGATATTCTCACAATGTGCATTATCTCACGGCAAGTGGGCAGGTGACTTGCTTCGCTCAGAATTAATTGGACATGATTCAAAAGCATTTTTAAGAAAAAAAAATCGTCGATGTAAAATGCTTGAGGGGAAACCTTACCCTCATTTTTTCGAGAAAATTGTTTTGTATTATATATCGTTCGATGCAGTTTAACGCACTGATTCTGAATACACAGTTTTTTGTCGATCAAATCGTTTTTTTTAAATTAGAAAAACTGAAAAATGTCTGAAAAACCTCATTTTTTTTTAGAAGCCTACTTGAGTTGTCTGTCGAACAGCTCAACTCTGTCACATATGAATTTTTTCGGTGACATATCGATGTTTTGACTGATTTTTAGGCAACTTATTTTGCAGTTTCTTTGATAGTTGTAACAAAGATATTTATACCATTAGATAACGATATTTTCAAGTATGTTTCTCCATATTTAAATCTTAAAATAGCGCGATTTTCATTTCTAGTTTAATGTTCACCCAGATACACGCTGTGACCCCTTTCACCATTCCAGGGTTTCTGAATAATAGTTCGTGTCTTCTCATTTACGAACATAAAATCGAAATTCAAAATCTGTTAAATTCAATTTCATTTGTTTTTTAAATTTAATTTATTCAAATTGAAAATAACCTTAAGATCTCAAATTTTCGGTTTTCAAATTTCAAAAAAATTACTGACAACAATTTTAATACGACTTAAACTTTCAGTTATATTTTTAAACTTGCTGAAATTTATAGATTTCGCTAAAGATTGAGTTTTATTATTTCAATTTTACTAGCTGTAATTTGTAGAGTGCACTAAAATATGGTAGTGCCTTTTCTAATCTTAATTGACTGCAATTTATAGAGTTCGCCAGACATAATTGTTACTATGAATGCCATCAGCTGTTTTTGATTTTGAACAGACCATATACTTAGGGCAATCCAAAAGTAGTGGCAGTAGTACTTTTATTCCTTATAAAAAGCTTTAAGAGACTTTCTTTGTATATAGTCTGATAGAGAAAAGAATGCTCTATTTTTCTATGCTATTTGATCATACTTCAACTAATATAATAATAATAAAGTTTCGATAAGATCTGTTTTGTTCGCATGTGTCGTGGTTACATGACTTGC